ACACTTCGTGTAAGTAATCGAGGTCATCTTTCAATATACAATAGACTTATAGGTCGAATTTTGACGTACCTCGCAAAATAATATTTTTTCGCATTTTTGGAATATCTGTTAAGCTCATTATTGAACAAAGATTTTTCGTATTCGCAAATATACATAAGTAAGTGAGTCAAGATAGCTTCATATATTGTTTAACAACTATAACATCTAAACAATGATCATCAACTCTGTTTTTAAGTATTATTGTCTGAGTAGACGTGTCGTAAATACGGGATCCAACTGACGATGTATAGAAAGTATTATTTTCTTACTTTTTATTCAGCTAGCATGTAAGGATTAGAACTTCATGTGAAACACGATGTCTCTCATTTTTATAAAATGTATTAGATTTGTCTTATTTTAAAAAAGTTATTCCGAAGACTACATTGAAATTTCGTTGAACCATCTATATGAATAAAACTTTGAATAACAGATTTTACCAGATTCACTTCTGTGATTTTCAGACTGGATTCATAATGGATCAATTGAACTCAACAGTGTCTTCATTGTTGGATGCAAATTTGATTGCAACAATAGATTATATCACACTTCAACTCGTTCGCTACTTTTCTATTTTTATTTTTCTTTTTGGTTTGATTGGAAATATTCTTAATGTTTTGGTTTTATCTCAAAGAGCATTTCGTTCTAATCCATGTGCTGTACTTTTTTTATTCTCATCAGTGGTGAATTTTATTGCTATCCTTTCTGGTCTTCTTTCTCGAATATTGTCTGGTTGGGGAGCTGATCTAACAGCAACAAATCGTGTCTTTTGTAAACTTCGTGGCTTTGTTGTCAATATTACAAGATCAGTAGCAATTTGGTATATACTTTTTGCCATGATTGATCGATGGCTTTTGTCCAGTCCTAGTTTACAGCGTCGACAAATGAGCTCATTGAAAAACGCTAAGCGTGCTATGATTATAAGTCTTATTGTAGCTACCTTGATTTTTTCACATGTTATCTATTGTCATGAGCCAAATCTTATTAATGCTCCACAGATATGTTATGGCATTACAAAAATATGTCGATTCATGACGGATACATCATTTATGCTTCTTGCTATTGTTCCTTTACCTCTCATGTTAATGTTTGGTGTGTTGATCATCTACAACATTCATCAATCACGAAGCAGGCTCGTTCATCGAGATATATTGTTGGTTAGAAACACGATGAGAATTCATACGAATCAACAACATCGATTAAGCAAACAAGATTATAATCTATTGATTATGCTCCTCATGCAAATTTGCATTCTTTTCATATTATCTCTTCCGTTGGCTATTTACAAGTTATACTCAGCAATAGTAACTGATAGAACACCATCTGCATTGGAAGTTGCTATTGACACTCTGATATATTGTCTTGTTCAATTATTTCATTTCTTAGCAAATGGAATGCCATTCTATATTTATACATTGACTAGTGGAAGAGTCTTTCGTAAGGCCTTATTCAAACTCTTCGTCCATGTAAGTCCTCAGCTCTTTTATAAATGATGATGAGTTTATTTTGTCAATTTCATGTTTATTCTATTGAAGTATTTCTTTGACATTTTTATAGCATCGTGTCAGACCTATGTAATGCTCATCATGGGAAACGTTGAAATATACTCAAGATGAATGGAAACAGGTTGCTGAAAGGAACCATCGAATTGCATAAATCAATATGTCCAAATATTTTGAAAATTTCATCGAATCAATGAGATCTCTGTGAAATCTTTTTGAGTAGTAACTAACAGAATATTTATATTATACTTATTTGTAAGAAAATACCATTGTTTTGTTGTTTATTAATGATTAGATGTTAATAAAACATCCTTTTGACTTGTTCTGATGATTTTTGTGTGAGATCACAAGAAAAATTTGATCTGATAGTGAAATGTGCAACCAGAATACAAGTGACAACTATCTTTCAGCATTGCAAAGTTTTTCGTCCTGTTGTATTCAAAACCAAAATCTCTGTGAAAGTGTGGGCGTTTTCACAATTATTCTCTTACGAACGACTTATGAGCTTTCGCTTAGGACATTCGATGTGTTTCTACGATAGTCGTTCAAAAAATATTACTTCATTTTCGAAATATTTTATTGTATTTTTTGAAAGTTATATCAATCATAAAAAGCGACATTTTTAATTTTTTCTGCAGTTTTTGTAAATAGTCATATCTTATCAGAAATACATTTGTTCGTCTTGAAATTTTTATTGTGAATACACCACACGTTCAAATACTTCTCGTAAGAATAGGAGTTCAAATTGAATGCACTGCTGAAAAGTGGATCAATACTGTCTAGTATATAGAAATATTGCTTTTTTTCTGTATTTTGTGCACATATATATCTCAAGATCAAATTTTTAAAAATATTTAGTCGTTTAACACATTTACGGCATTTAAATATAGTTGTTGGAACTTATCAAACAGTTTTAACAGTTTGGATGAGTGTACTTGTAGATATTAGTGTCGATGTGGACTCTCTATTCAGTCACAAGCATACGCATACTCTAGTGACCTCCATGGCACTCTCAAATGGTCTGCAAATAAGAATCAACTGGGGAACACATGTCTATCACTCAATGAAAAGAAATGAAGAAAAAATGTACAACAGAAAAAAAACGCAATGACGATCAATCAAAAAGTCGTCTCTCTTTGATTTATATGTATTTTTCAGTTGCATTGAAATATTCTCGAACTTTTCTTCAAGTTGAAAAAGTCCCAAGGTTGTTATGAATCAATGTCACATCATTCTGTCCATAAATAAATAGTTAAAAAAAGAATCATGACCATGCAAATCGCAGACAACATGCAAAAACAGCCTTAACAGCATGATTAATATGACGTCAAACAGAATAGAAAAAAGAATTATTCTTCATTGTAAACAATAACTTGCTTTATATAATAATAAGCAGGCTTCAACACTACTAAAATTAACATTTGTCAGCAAATCAAATGCCACGACATTTATTGTCAAGCCATTTTTTACGTCGTTTTAAATCTAAAGTAAATTTGTAATATATACACATATTGACATTTTAACATTCTAATACAGTATTTAGATCATGATTATCAACTGGTAGATTCTAGTGAACATGAAGAATATATTTTTTCAGTATCTTCTTCTGAAAACTGTCGTAGAACATCCAATACTGGTGACAGATTAGAAAACGAAGAGTATAGTCATTATGGTCCAGCAAAACGAGTAATATCTCAAACTTCTCAAGAAAGCTTTGAAATTTTCTATGAAATTCACAATGGTTTTACATCAGACCAAATATCAATTATTGAAAATGCTTTACAAATCGTTGTTGATAGAGTATTCAAACCAGAAATTTTACAAAATATGTATCAAATTTGTGGTACATCTGGCTGTTTCATAAAACAAGAAGTATTGTCACAATCAAATCTAATGCAAAATTCAATTTATGACAATGAATATCTTTTATTACATTATCAATTCATGGGTCTGAAAGCCGAAAGTAAACATGGCGGAATTCCCATTCTCAATATTTATCCCATTCATGAAAAAGATAAAAAAGAAAAGAATAATTCTCTTCCGTGTGTTTTTTGTATTTCCCATGGATCATCAATTTTAATTGATGGTGAATTCAAAATTGAATTAAATCAAGATGAACTTAATGGATCAGTAAAAACCACTTCAAATGCCTTATTTTGGGCTGGAGAAATTGTTTATGAAATGCTTCGTAATTTAGGTCATCAACCCGATGATATTTATTACACAAATCAATCACAAATTAATGTTTTTAAAGAATGTTTTCTATATAATGGAAACTATATTCCTATTAAAAATAAATAAACTTTCAGCGGTTTGAAACTCTAGATAAAACTTTTTCTTTTGTCATCAGAGAAAATTGTTGATTTTTACTTCTTATGATTGATAGGAGAATACTTTAATAAATACATTGATATTTATTATAATCTCAAAAGCATTCTTCTCAAACGGTTAAAATAAACATTGTTGTTTGTGAAGAAAAAAACTCGCTACTGCTCTCATACAATCAAAAAATGTCTAGAAAAGAAATCGCAGACTTCATTATGAAATATAAATTAGTGCGTATAAGGAATAGATCATCTTTATTGTAGGTAGAAAGATGTCATCATTTATTTTATCATCCGACTTTTTCAACTATCAAGAGTCACAAGTAAGTTACAATGCATGTATTGACATAATGGAATCTTACTATAAAGAATAAATTGCAGTAATCTATATTTCATTGTATTCTTTTCGACTGTTTTGAGAAATCTAAGAATTAAGTTTACATTTGTGATTATTAAGAATGTCATCGAGAGTGAACAACAATTTCATGCTACGCAGAAGCTAAGAAATAATAAGACTGGTTTGAATATAAAAAAAGAAACCCGTTTTGTTTCCATTAAGGATGGTAAAAAAAATAAAAAAGAAAGTGTTTACTTGCCAAACTTAAGATAAAATTTAACATATATATTCATACACCACACACAATGAATGTTTTTTTTTCTTATTCTTTGTTTAAATTGTTCGTTTTTTTTATGATTTCATTATGGGTTTTTCTCTTACAGTAAATATTTCTTTTTATTGTTCTGCCAGTAGGATATTTTCAAGAAAACGACATAATTCATTTATTTTATGTCTCGACAGATGAAATTCATCATGATATGTATTATGACTCATTCAATAAAATAAACAAATACTGTTATCCTTTGAAATAATGTAAATGTTATAATGATTACTACAGTAGTATATGTAGATTTCAGTTAATATCTGTGGATGTTTGTAACTGAGGAAGAAGAACAGAGTATCACAAACAATTAGAAAGAGTGAAACAATGGCTTATATATTTTTTTATTTTGTTCAAAGTTAGGAAACTTCTCTAATGTAAGATAATATATTGATGGTATGGGTGTGGTTGAAAAGAACAGCATCACCCACACCCACAAAGGAATACCATCGCCATGTTATTAATTCGATATGCTTTCCTGCATTCTGCGATGTTCTTACCTTTTTCAAGCTTTAGATCAGGCTTTTCAGACGGAACGTTAATCTCTAGGAAAGATTTGTAAACAAGACACTTTAAACAACAACTTATTACATAATGATTAGTATTCAGTTGAATGAAGACAGCTCAAGGGCAAAAAATATATAAAATATATTCTCAAATAAATTTATTTATCACCATAAGCAAAATCCAATCTGCATGCGTTCGATTTTATCGTTGTCAAGCAGTTTTTGGCAATCGATCATTATATTGAATTGTTCGATCGTCTCATCGTTATCATCAACTATCAATGAGAAAAGATAACTGTTATCAATGTTTTTTAATAGTAGAATTTGTACGATTGACACGAGATTTTCCTTTGTTTTTCTAAGGTCGAGACATTTATATTCGAGGAAAAAGTTTGATTAACAGTTGAGCAGCGTCAAATGTAAGTGCATGAATTATTATTATATTGGTCACATGATTGTCATACACCAAATCGCCAGTGTTCAATTGATTTATTTGATAAGAAATGCGTCGCAAACAGTGACATTGCATCCTGAACCAATGTGTGAATATTAGGCATTTGACCAAGAAGTTTGACAGAAGTATTCGAGCACTGATCGCTGCATGAGAGTGTTAAATAAGTGATCTGTGCCAAAGGAATAATGCAACTGAGATTATCGATGAATGAGTGAATGTCGATAGTATAATTGCCCGTGAGTATCGGATTAGTAACACATGAAAATTGAAACGAAAAATCGACAACAACATTTTGACTTTTCATGTGAGGGTGGGTGTGAGTATGGGGTGTAGATGTGGGTGTCAGTAAGATGATATAACAAATATCCACACTCCCGAGGTGTATACGACAAAAGATTGTAGATGCTTGCTGGCCTACATAGACTATTCACGACAAGGTGTTCACTTGTAGCTAATGAAAACGAGAGTACATCTCCAAGTTCTTCAAATGAAAGTTTGGTAAATTTCAAAACAGGCAGACGAAAAACTAATTAATGAGAGAAAAATAGGAACTATTGAAAAATGTTCGAAACGAATATTAAGATTAGAGAAAACCTCAAGTAAATGATAGCCATCACGGAAATCGAAAATGTCTAACAAAATTTTGTTTGATATGTTTTCGAAACGGGTTATTGATCTGATTGTGAGGGGACAAAGCTATGAAAAGATAAGAGCCGAACAAAGTCTCATATTAATCATCGCTTCTTGTCATGTATTGTTGTTAGACGATGGTGAACGGGAAAATATTGACAAATCTAATAGTCTTTCAATCGGTGCCAAATTGACCTTACTCGTCATGTACTTGTCTGTGACTAAAATTGAGTCTAGAAATAATCACCATAGTACAGAAATTCGAACTTTCGTTTGATCAAGCTAAATATATATTGTTGAAGCCTTTCAATTACCTCATTTTCTCATGAATCTTGTAAAAGACTACTTGTTGTAGATGATGCATCGATCACCACTGATTCTTGATCAGTAGGATCAAATGAAAAATAAATTCACAGTGTTGATATAAAGAAAGTCTGATATCCATCAACTTGACGAGATTGACTTAGAAGGAAATCTCAGTTTTGTAGACAACAATCTCTTGTTTTTCTTCGAATAAGAGAAAGCAGATAGCTTTGTATTTAGTGAAAGTTCGCAAATGCTGAAGTAAATCAGCACAATATATAGTATTTTTTTTCAATTCAAAATTTTCTAATTTCCGAAATGTTTTGACCTATCTTTTCATTTTCACTGTTAGGTATTCCAATGAATGATTGTTTTCACCAAGGGCAAACACTTTTAGACTAAGATGAGATACAAGCATTTTCTCATCATGAAAATTAGGCAGCGATGCCAGCGAGAGAATTAACCGATATATTATCGTAAGGTGGTGGATAGACGGATCACGAAGAAGAAAGAGCAAAGATCGGCGATACAAAAATATACAAGCTATATTAACAAGTTCGCCATATAAATGTCTGTGAGCAGTCAAGAAACATTTGAACTAATGGTTGTGCTGGCATGCTCAGATGCTTGCATCTAAAGAATGATTTTGAGAGAAAATGATTAAAATAAGAGGGTTATACGAAAATCAATTTTAGGTTTTAAACTACTGATAAATAGAATTTGGAAGATAAAAACAGAACCATAAGATGTGGGTTGATATGAGTCTACCATTCATTCTCACCGACACCAGCATCTCCATCCCGTATGTTAGTTCAGACTCAACGGATAGTTACGCGAATTGTTAAAATCAGAAAGAGATTGATTCAAAAACCGTAGTTGAAATTCATCAACATCCTGTAGTTGAAGAAAAGTCTAGTGCAAATTTCTACAATATAAAGAGAGAGGAATTCGATTGCACTATCTCTGGAACATCAAGATAAAAAATCCCATAGATAGAGTACCGAAAACAATGTGACACATGTACGAGGAAAAAATTTTGAAGCGGGTTTTGCTAGAAAATCCTGGTATCTCGTAAGGCCATATTCTGTTTGTCTACGACTCACATCTAATTTTGTTCAATCGTGCTGAAAGGAGACTATAAGGATTTGCCTTCAGAAGGGGATGCATGCAGGTTTGTAGGAGAAGATGGTGTGTGTATTATCAAATTCTGCTGCACACCAAAAATTTCGATAGATGACACCAGATTCGAAAAGCCTATTAAAGAATATACAACACATATGGCGCCATCTATCAAAAATTTTGGTATGCGAGAGAATTTGATAGTACTAACAATATTAGATAGAGAAAGTCTTTCTCTACAAATCTGCATACATTCCGCTCCGGAGTGTGGATGTCGATATCGCATTGTTAATTCCAGCCAGACACCAAGACCCACACTCATGATGCTTGAAATATGAATTTTGTAGTCGAATAAGACATAACAATAGAAGTAACCGATAAAAATATATCCACTAAGTTTAGTATTATGAGAATCTGAAGCATTGAAAGGATATGTGAAGAGAAAAAACCAATAAGAGAATGAAGAAAAGCAGAAAAAAAAAGTATTTTTTCAATTTCTTTTGACGTCATTTTTATTTTATCGCCGTCACTCTTTGTCGTCTAGTGCTGTGTTTTACTACTCAATGCATCAATATTGAAAGGATGAAAGAAAGCGTGCAAGGAAAAAACCCAAAACAATAAATACTTCACAATTGAGTACGTCAGCAATCATTGAAGAATATAGTCATTCTCAACATCAGAACGTTAGCTTAAACTCATTATATTCATTCAAAAATAACAAAAGGTATGCTTTTATTCATTATCACAAATATTGTTTCAGTAAATAATTAGTAAAGATGATTTTTGATTTTATTTAATTAGTCAAATATGCATCGAATCCAAGCTATTTGTTTGGGACACAAAGAAAAATTGATTGATAATTACCAATCAATCGAAAAATTAAACACACAAATCTTGAACAAGTACAGAAAATATTTGGTTCAAAAAAATGTCAAAGAAACATATGTTCCATTCATATTAGTATATAAAAACGAAGCAACTGGTAAAGAAGAATTACTTACAGATATAAATGTAATTCCCAAGAATAATGGGCAATGGTTTCAATTGTATGTTAAACGGGTATGATTTTTGTTTTGTTTGGACACAAAATGGTAGCGTGATATTCAAGTAGAAAGGAGCGAGCAACATATTCTTAGATAACAAGTTCTGAAAAGAGTTCGTGCTAATAGCTTATTGGTACCGAGATATATTGCATTTGTGCGGTATTTTTTTAACAGAATGCCGTGTTCTCTGTCAGGAATACTAGGAAAACTAATTTTCGAATTTCGAGTTGAAACTTTGCACAGAGACAGGCCTTAACAAGAGT